TACGAACGAAGATTTCGCCAATGAACGGGGTAGCTATTTTGTTCCACATATTTATTTCAACGTTGAGTGAATAGATGTCGTATATTTTACATTTAAAACATTCTAAAGACAAATCAGTTCTACGATCTGCTCTCAAAAATAGACCTCACTAGGCCACGTTTCCTGGGTTCAGTGCACGCGCCATATTCGTCGTAGTCAACGTGCCTGAACATTTATATATTATGTATCTTTGTTAAATGTATATTTATTCGCAAATAAATGGATATTATGTGCAATGTTTACATACATCAAATTTATAAATGGGCAATAATCGTCCATTGATCGTCGTACTGCAGTACCTTAATAGAGTGAAATGTGAAAATAAGGTAATGTGAGGAGGGCAGGTGCCAACAATCCGTTGTTTCTTTGTTATGATCTTACTACTCGTTGGTTAACTTGGAGATACCAAATGTCGGATGGGTTAGGTGAAAAAGGTACGCGGGTACCACGTCTAACCTTATATATCCCCAAGACTACGTCACAGCTGAGATATGGGCCATCTCACTTTGAATGGCAGAAATTGCAAAACTTGCCAGGAATCGTCCCATTTTACAGGAAAATCTGTCATCTTGAACTGAAATCACGCACTCTGCATTTACGCCTCCCGAGGCTCACCCCTCACTGTCTCCATTAGTGCAAGCCAACGCTGCATCCACCCAGGCAACGCCCCTACTAAGGCTACAGGAAGAACGTTCCAACTTCTCAATGTGCGTCCCAGGGTGCGGCAAGTCCGCCCGGCCCGCCCTTTCTCATCTCCACCCTTTGCTGTTGTTGTTGCACTGTTTTACACAGACTGTTTCTAAGCACGTCTGGCTAGAGTTCTCCGGTATAAATCACTGGTGAATGCGTGAATGGGTTACCCCATCTCTCTGTCGGGGGCAGACTGGTAGAGCAATTCAGCCATAATTTTATAGCTCTGGTGCAAACCGATGTCATTGCCCAGCTGAAAATGCTTCATTAAATGGGCTAGGTGTTGAGCAAAATCTGTTTATGGAAATGTCTATGCTTAACCAGTCCGCAAAAAACAGCGTTTTCACGCGGCCGTAGTATTCGTGCCATGTGACTTAGTCCCATGATGACGTCACAGCAGCGCCACCCGGAATGCAGTAATGCGGGTGTTTGGCTCTACCTATAGGCAGAAGAACGTGGTATCATCTCGTTTGACTCAACCCAACAGGTCGAGATACTGAGATAAGAGATGTTATAAGCTTGTCTCATTCGGGCTGTAGATTACGTACCAGTCTGGAACATCGGATGCGCCATTTGTGCCGGGTTCGTCACCACCCTCCGTCTCAGCAGAAAGTAGCGACACTGGTAAGACCGGTGAGTCTTAGAAGGGAGGTGCCAAGGTCTGGAAGCCTCCCAAAACATCGCGTTCAAGCCCATTTCTGTGCGGCGACCTTCATATGAACCCTATGTGATGGCCAATAGGACCTAATACAAAAATTTTGAAATTTCTCGGTTGCTTTTGGCGTCCAGGAGCTTGAAGTGAGTGTTCCACCGTATTGGACAAGGTGGGTAATGGCACATGTCACTGCATGCAAAATGACGCCTTAAAATGCTTGCATATTCACCAAGTTCAGACTCGTCGCAGAGCCACTGCCACATAAGTTAGGCAGTATTACTTTTAACGGACAAATACATTTTAAATTGCACATTCAATTGCCTTAAAAAAACTGTTTTCCAGATCTCCCGGATGGCCTACCACGCACTCCGAAAAAGCCCTGTGCTCAGTGAGCGCGGCCAGGGGCGTCAGCTACATCCCGCCCAGGGTGGTCAGCTACAGCCCGCTCAAGAGGTCAGCTACACCCCGCCCAGGGTGGTCAGCTACATCCCGCACAGGGGCGTCAGCTACAGGGTGGTCGGCTACATCCCGCTCAAGGTGGTCAGCTACATCCCTCACAGAGTAGTTAGCTACATCCTGCCCAGGGTGGTCAGCTACAGCCCACTCAAGAGGCCAGCTACATCCCTCACAGAGTGGTCAGCTATATCCCGCCCAGGGTGGTCAGCTACATCCCGCTCAAGAGGCCAGCTACATCCCGCCCAGGGTGGTCAGCTACATCCCGCCTAGGGTGGTCAGCTACAGCCCGCTAAAGAGGCCGGCTACATCCCTCACAGAGTGGTCAGCTATATCCCGCCCAGGGTGGTCAGCTACATCCCGCTCAAGAGGCCAGCTACATCCCGTCCAGGGTGGTCAGCTACATCCCGCCTAGGGTGGTCAGCTACAGCCCGCTAAAGAGGCCAGCTACATCCCTCACAGAGTGGTCAGCTATATCCCACACAGGGTGGTCAGCTACATCCCGCTCAAGAGGCCAGCTACATCCGTCACAGAGTGGTCAGCTATATTCCACGCAGGGTGGTCAGCTACATCCCGCTCAAGAGGCCAGCTACATCCATCACAGAGTGGTCAGCTATATCCCACACAGGGTGGTCAGCTACATCCAGCTCAAGAGGCCAGCTACATCCCGCCCAGGGTGGTCAGCTACATCCCGCCCAGGGTGGTCAGCTACAGCCCGCCCAAGAGGCCAGCTACATCCCGCCCAGGGTGGTCAGCTACAGCCCCCTCAAGAGGCCAGCTACATCCCTCACAGAGTGGTCGGGTATATCCCACACAGGGTGGTCAGCTACATCCCGCTCAAGGGGCCAGCCTCATCCCGCACAGGGTTGTCAACTACACCCAGCACAGGATGGTCAACTACATCCCAAATCCCTCACAACTGCAAATTAGCCTTGTAGCACTACGTGGAAATACCCGAAACGCCAATCACGTGTGTACCAGAGGTGCTGTTTTCTGGAAGTTCTTGTACAAAGTCCATTCCGAACACTGAGGATGGACCGGCTGTCGCCCAAAAAGTGTCCAAAGGAGCAGGTTATCCAGGAATTTCGATATTTTGTCAAATGATGCCTTCTAAAACCAATAGCCCCAGTCACTACTCACATCGCTCCATTTCCTCACACGAATCGAATACAAAGAAAGGAACTGATTGTGGGTAAGTAATGTGTATCTGTATAAAAGGAGATTAGATGCGCACCGATGCGCGACACGACCGAATGACATCAGCTGTAAAATATAAAATTCTTCAGATTTGTGACCCTGTTCGTCCAGTCTCCAAATTAGAGCTCGAAAATGTTTGGAATTAAAAACAAATTTAATCAGCACATCTGGTCTGTACCTAGGCAAGGGTGCAGGTTCCCCATTTCGTTGCGAGGAGTCTACAACTTTATGTCTATCGGGCAGCATCTTTGAGACGTAAGGAGATAAAATCAAGGGAAAAATTCGCTTCTGACTTATTTTGGTGGTAGATTCAGTCATATTTTCATACTCAGCCACCCAACTTTAAGCTAATCTACAAAACTACACCTCTTTAAGCGTCCACACACGCAGGAGCGTGCCAGTTTACGCAGGTAATGAAAGCTTAGAAATCTTCAGGGCGCCATGTGCATCACTGAGATTAAAATAAATATCAGGCCGCTGCTGGTGATGCTACACCGACGCTAACTCTTCGCGGAACACCCAAGCCGGGGGGGGGGGGGGGGGGACACTCATTGCGGGGAGGAACGTTGCACGGGCAATATATCTTGGATGGAGATCTATACAGCCTAACAGTTTACATATGTTAGCTGAGATCAGCTTCATACCGCTGACACACGAGTTAACGTTACGTCACTGGTGGCGGCGCTAACAGCGCCGACGGCGTCACCTCTTTGCATTATGAGGCAAGCGGGATTTCTTGTCTAAACAGCTACATGGAGAGTGTATGTCTGTCTGTCTGCGTGTGAGCATTTCTAGCCAGACACACTGCACAGACGGTTGCCCAAATTGCGTTGAGCTTTCCACACTTCTGAACCTTGGTTGAGCTTTTATGCCCATTCACGGCATAACTTCCCGCCTGACCGATGCCGTTGTCGGTCACATCGCGCGGAGGGGGTATGTTTTCCCATGGAGCAGGGAGACGCTTTTCGTACATGCAAGGTAAGCGTGGGGGAAACAAGCTGTGCAGAGACCAAGCCCACGGCCGCACAACCTACCCGTCGTGTCGTCTAGCCCACGGTTATTGGGTCTAGCTGAGCCGTCAAAGACATGCAATATAACTCGAGCAAAAATGATTATAGCGTGCCCACACGCAGGGGACTGCTTATTGACGCAGCACTGAACGCTCAGAAAACCAATCAGGTGCTGCTGTGCATATTGTGATGCGGGCCGATGTTATGTGGCTGGAGGCGGTGCTGTACCCTCGCCAAGGGTGGCGGCGCGGACGGCATGTACTGCAATTAAAGATAATTACGGGGAGCAGTATGAACCCTCAAGGCGATAAGTTAGCATGCTGAAATATCAAGCCTTCTATGGCAAACGAAGTAGGCGAGCAATAATTCTTTCCAAGGCACACTTTCTCTGAAGTGCCCTGACAGCAATTCAGAAGATCTCTGGCTCACGCCCGAAACACAAGTACCGAACTCACATGCCTGAGAAACGTGGTGAAATTGTAGGAAGTTTTATTTATGGCTTCGTTCCTTGCTGTACGACAGCCAGCCCTCCCACCAAATACCTCCCAAATATTACCAAGACATGAACCGTGACGCCAAAGAGTCACGTACCCGACATTCTTACTGGTAATTGCGATCATCAGCAGGAGTCCTACGGCATCTGTCGGCCGCACTCACCACGGGTAAACTATTGTGCTGCGTTGGTGGAACCCTTACAGTTCCACCAACGTTCCCCGTTCAAATGACGAGCCATACAAGAGCTTGATATTATGTTAGTGGCCGATGTCCCGATTTCTTCCAGCGTTCACGCTCAGCGCGTTTCACATGACTTCCTTCTCTATCATAAGTTCAAGAAGGATTGTTCCTCACCGTTTAACCCAGTCGTCCCGAAATTTGTAACTTTTCAACGTTCTTTTCCCCAGTCCTCATGTTATATTCTTGCTTGACATCATCCTCTCGCCTTAGAGCTAAGTCCGGCGACATAGTACCGACGTATCAGGCGTTTTCTTCTTGCTTTACACTCTCCCCCGACTTCACGCTACCCTGCTTCACACTCTCACGTGATGACTTCACACTACCTTGCTTTACGCTCTCGCTTGATTTAACGCCACCCTGCTTCGCACTTTCGCGTGATGACTTCACGCTTGCTTGCTTTACGCTCTCGCTTGACTTAGTGCCACCTTGCTTCACACTCTCCTTTGATTTACTATCACTTTGCTTCACACTCTCGTTTGACTTGCCGCTCCCTTGCTTCACACTCTCGCTTGATTTGACGCTACCTTGCTTTGCACTCTCGCGCGATGACTTCACGCTCGCTTGCTTTACGCTGTCGCTCGACTTCACGCCACCTTGCTTCACACTCTCGCTTGACTTAACATCACCCTGCTTTACACTCTCGCTTGATTTTACGCTTCCTTGCTTCACACTCTCGCTTGATTTGACGCTACCTTGCTTCACACTCTCGCTTGACTTACCATCACCTTGCTTCACACTTTCGCTTGACTTGACATTACCTTGTTTAACGCTCTCGCTTGACTTAACACTACCTTGTTTCACACTCTCGCTTGACTTCTGGCTACCTTGCTTCACACTCTCGCTTGACCTCTGGCTGCCCTGCTTCACGCTCTCTCGCGACGACTTGCCGCTGCCTTGCTTAACACTCTCGCTTGACTTAACGGTGCCCTGCTCCGCACTAGCGGTACCCGCTTCAGCCGGAGGTGCGGCATCACCATCAGCCGGAGCCGCGGCATCACCGTCAGCTGGCGCTGCGGCACCTTCTTCGCCCTCACCGGGCTTTGTTTCCGAAGCACCCGTAGCCGGAGCATCGCCCGCCTCTGCCTCTCCCTCAGGTTTCTCTGCTCCCTCTTCATCGCCGGCTTTCTCTTCGTCAGCCTTACCCTCGTCCTCCTCTTCATCCTCGCCCTCTTCCTCCTCCTCCTCGCCCTCTTCCTCTCCCTCTTCTTCGCCCTCATCTCCGGCGCCCTGAAAAATAAGCTCAGATTGGTTCTCTAATAAGCGTATATGATTACCAACTGATTCTTTTTCAGTGTTGCCTCGGAAGTGGCATTCCCCCAGCTTTAATCAGAGAATACGGCTGTGAATGAGGCCAGAGACTTACGAAATGACCATGCCGTGCCGTACCAGGCACTCTTGTTGGACCTTTCTATTTAGAACGTTTCCAATCGGTGATTTTACCCTGACATCGGTGACAGACCTTGTGGCTAGATAAAGGGTAGCTGCTGAGCCACCTATGTAGATCAAAGGCCAGCTGTGCGCGCGCGGACGCACTCTTAAACAGATGGATCAGCACTCCTGCCACGCTCAAAGCTGTCTCACTTTAGTCGCCAAGTTTTATAACGGCGTAATTTAAACTATTAGTGTTGCATCGCACGAGCTATCATTGCTCTATTGCGTTGCCATCACTAATAGCAACGCCAGCGACTGGTGCAAGCCTGCGCTGGCCGCTCAGGGCTGGGCTGACATATACAAAGCTTGCCGAGCGGCGAAAGCCAAGCATTGCACAAAACTGAGAGCTATGGCGAGCGATGCCTCGGCCCAGTTGTAGTGACGTTGCTGCACCGACTGATGCACGTTGCTGACATTCAAATAACACAGAAATAGCGCCGAAATCAAAAATTCAAATGCTCGTGAGGAACATGCCATCACGGAAACACATACAAGGCAACCACGATAAGAAGCCGAGACGCAAGCACACATCGCTTGCACGTCCAATTCCCTCACGTAAACTAACAACGCCGCCTTGTGGCGCGTAGAAGTACCACAAGTGAGTCACGCCGACCACTTCGGTGGCAGCTCTAACGGGTAACCAGTGTTAGGCAATAATTATTGACGACTTTGACGTCATAAAACGTCCCATGACGTAATCAAGCGATAACGCATGAGGAGCACATCAACTTAGCTGTGAAACTTTGCTATTTAGAGGAGTTTTGGGGTTTTAATGTCTACCAATGGTTACAAGTAGTCCTTTCCGTCATATCTGATGCTTGCGTAATATTCTCAACTGTGGAACAATGCCCTTAACATACTATCCCTTTTGGCAGTCATGGTAACGGTAATAAAAAAAAAATGTATTGTGTATCGCATGCGAAGATTGTGCGCCGTATGAGACACCTTGCTCCTACTCAGGTCGTCAACCGCAGTCCCCGGCAGCCGTGTGCAAGGTCACTGACGTCGACAGCTCTCTCACCTCAATAACGAGCCCAGGCGGCGGCGGCGGCTTGGCCGACGGCAGCATGAACGGCAAGTCCAGGTTCTCCTGGCCGGTACCCATGTAGCAGAAGCCGTACTCGGTGCTGTTGAGTCGGTGATAAAAGACGGAGCCGGGCCATGTCAGGTTGCGTATCACCACCACCCGCCCGCTACAGCAGCGGTTCATCACCCACGACGCTGTAAGAAGGAAGCCCGTCATCAGCGACTGGTAGGGCGGAACGAGCCAGGAAAGACTTCTGTGCACTATGAACTCACAGCAAAGCAATGGGAAGGGTAGTCGATACAACCCCTTCGGTTTCCAAACAAAGAAAGATAGAGCTTAGCAAAAAACACCAGTGACATAATCTTAACGATGTATCACCATTAGTAACAATTTTTTATTGCTTGATCAACAGCTGACCCATTATGCCAGGTCAAAGGTCGAATTTTCCCAAATCGCTCTTTTCAGCTTCACAACTACATACATAAGAAGCCATATCTTATATGGACAAAGAATCTAAATGCCTATGTTCCTTGTTCAGTTTTAAGTACATGTGTGTATATCTTTACGTGTTTTGGCTAAACATTCATGATGCATGGCCTCGTTAACAATCCGGCCCGTCGCGCGCATCCCGCGGCACTGTCGGCTGTCGACCGCCACCCACGCCGGCGGCACATCGCATTGAAGCGTTCCTCAAAAACCGTCGCTGCTCCGAAACCAGGGAGCCGTGGGCACGTTTGTTGTCAAAACACGCAGTGGATGCCCGATAGGCTACTGAAAATTTGAGCGCGATTGCATATGCTGAAGAGGTATCCTAAAAAACCTTAGGGGACCGCACAGACCTCCCTATCACGGCGATAGTTAACCACAACACTACCGCTATCCCTCCCACCACTGAATGAGATGGCTGATTGGCGTAGAAAAGTCACAGTTCCGGCCGTACACAGGGGCCAGACTGCACCTGCCTTTAAAGCAGTCCTGGCCGAGTGGCTCGAGGAAGTCGATGGTCAGGTCGGCGTCAGCGGCCGTCCTGCGTACCGGATCCTGGGTCGGTACGCGCAGGTGCAGGTACGACTCCAGCTGGTCACCCTCCACCGGCCGCAGGCCTGCCGTCGGCAGCGCACACCGCAACAGATCAGGCGCAGGCGCAGGTGTGGGATGCACGTGGAGCACAAGAGCGTGTAGTGGTTTAGTGGCGTGGGCTTTCGCAGGCTGCTTTTAGCCGTGGCGGAATGAGCTTTTGCGTTCTTTCTTCCCACATCGCCAGCTCCAAACGCTCACAGCCATGGACGCTTCGTTAAACAACATGTCTAACCCGGGTAGGACGCAAGCTGATCCACGATAGCTTTTCTCATCGGCGTAGTACTTCTATGTGCTCATCGTGTGCTAAGCTTGGTGCTCCTGATTTCTGTTATCAACTACAAAGGCCAGACGGGGCCTGAATAAGCATGAGGAGTTTTACCCAACCCAATGAAACTGAAATCCAGCTAAGTCAACGACAGCTCCCCTGCGGCACGGGCACTGCACCTGCGAAGGACGGGTTTCGAATGACGGCTCCACTCGGAGTGTACAGCAGCGCCTTCCTCGGCACGATGGCGATCTCGTGGAAAAGCTTGTGCACCACGTACGCCAGCCGGTCCTCCTCTTTCACCACCGGCTGTCGGGGAGCAGTAATCAGGCGGCGCTCAGCATGCGTCGTCGCGTTCGAAAACGTTTGGAGGCATTGCTCTGCGATCGCATGCGGGCTATTAAGTTTGTGAGCGTGGCGAGTCTCACAATGATTTCTCGTGGTCAGGAAAGCAGTTGAAAATTGAAGTCATCCAAAGTGGTTAAAGCCATTAAGCGCTTTCTGGCAACAAAGTCTAAACTGCCAGGAAACGGCCAACCGATCAGTATCATCTATGCACGTTGCCCACAAGTAAATCTCTTCAGACGAGTCAGTCAACCTCACGGAGCTGGATGAAGTCGGACTTGAGAGAAGCGCCTCAGCGCAAGTCCCTTGCATCGGTGGCTCGCCTCATACCGAGTGGGTTGTTGATGCCTCCTCCGCGTCCTCGTGGGCGTCACCAGACCCCGGATCATAATCATGCGCAGGGTCCCCCGTCAAGCGCCCCTTGAGCTTGCTGGCCGCGTCCACAAGCTTGGGGTTGCAGTCCTGCAGCAGGCTCCAGTGCATGCCGTCCGTGCTGATGAAGGAGTGTGGCAGACCAGCGGCATAAGGACACAGTTGTGGTGCGCCACTGGACGCCATCCGTAATCGATGGCAAAAGAATGGTTCACTCGCCAAAGGACACGTCAGCGGTGGACTAGTTCGCGTCGTTGGTGATGACGCAAGAAAACGGCGGATGCTTGTCCGGGCTTTTCATGATGAAGAAGGACAGAGCCAACGATATTTTTAGGCACAATCGTTCCATGCTCAGGCATATCAGTGAGTGCCGTCCGTGCTGAAGATAAAAAAAAACGATCGCTTGGACGCTTCATGAGAGCACAAATTATAAAATTGAAGCAATGGGTTAAAAAATATCAGTGCCACCCAATTCATGGGGCTACAAAACCAGCCACAAATACTGCACTGTGTAGATGTTGTAGATTAGGGAGGCGCGTTCGGGGTCACACGTCAAGCGTACCTGTAGAAAAATTTCAGATCCATTAGAAAGTCTTCACCAACGGACTGGGCCAGAAAGTAATCGCCATCCAGACCCAGCAGGCAGCCCAGGAACCTCATCTCCTTGGCCTTGTTGTCCGCCTGCAGCTTGGCGAGGGAATTTCCGAGCATCGCTCTTTGCTCTACGTTGACGGAGAACCCCGTATAATCACTGGTAATTTCGATTGGTGTCAGGGCGCCGATGTCCATGTCGGTTTGTGTCTATGAACTGGATGACGTGTATGAGTCTGCAATTCTTCTTTTTCACAGGTCTAAATGCGAAAGAGTTGAATGTCACAGCATTTAAAATGGATGACCTAGACCATGACATACCCAACTACGTTTACTGGGTTATCCAACGTTACTCTATCTGCAACTTCTGGAAAAGGAACAAAATTTTTTACCCGCACGCGTAGTTTTGAGCTAAGGGTCTTTGTAGTACGTAATAGGCTACGCCAACATCCATTTAGTAATTGCAGACAAAAATTTATCCCCCATTCGCGCGAAGCTGCTTTCAGGCCCACGATGTAAAACGGTTATGTACAATGCAGCGAAGATATGTCGCGACATGCCACTCAGACGGGTACCGTGCGGGAAAAAGGATCACGATGATTTCATTGCAACAACACCTCGCGTAATTGATACCGCATTGCGTGACAGATTAGGGTCTACGTAAGGGTAATGGACGTTCGTGCCATCCTCAGTACCTTGGCTTACCCGCATTTGCACATTACGGCGAAATCTGTCAGTCAAAACTTAATGGGAATACAAAAACGACGACATCTGCTCTAAGTCGAGAGCCCAACTTTCCAGTGTTGCACACCGCAGAGCCTGCTCTACCATGCGCTATTTTACCTCAAGCTCGCACCACGCCCATATTAAGTACCGATGCCATCGTGCTCTTTCAATCTGTGCTCTTTCAACCATTCGTAAACCGACTGAGGAGTTGTGCGAGTGGGTAAAACCATGTCCTCGATGCGTCCAATTCCAGCGGGTGTCCTGGCCGCTGCGTTTCAGCGACAGGCCCCACAGGTGTTGGTCAGGTGTTGGCAAGGAGCCCATCAAGGCCGCATAAGAGACATTGATCAGAAAAGTACACGATGCACTGCATTCGAACCTAGATCTCTTCAGATCCTAGATCAACCAGACGCCAATTCTAACCCGTCATTCATGAGCTGGGTTGAGCAGGCGCGTAGAGAGCAATGCCGTGTTTGCAGAAAGCGTGGGGTTCTCCCTACCAAAATCAAAGGAGACATTCCTGGCGCCTTGAAACAATCTAGGCCATCTCGCATACAAAAAGCTCAGATGTGGCTGACACAGGATGACCACCCTGCCTGAGTGGGGATTGGCCATCACTTCCCCGCATTCAATGTATCCATCATCAAAATTCGTGTCGCAATTGCATTGTATTGTTTATACACCAGAGGAACTAAGCCAGTGGTCCTGCCACCAGCTGCAACGCCAGCCCACATGTCATCGCTTGGAAGCACTGAAAGACTAAGTACGAAACCCACCACACAGCTGGCGTCTATGTGGACAACTCAAATATCAGAGATGATCCACCAATACAATTTTACAATACATTTGTTACACACTTACAAACTCCGTGGGCCAAAGGGTAATATACGACCCGAAAGTTGACAAAAATGGCAAAATAAAAATTTATATCCAGCCAAATTAACATACATAAATGAACAGCCGCTAACCTCACCAGTAATTTCTTTCTCAACGGAAAGAACGATGAGCAAAATGAGTAAGAATGCGCTGGCAATGTGAGCTTCAAAAGAGATGTCACTTCTATTTCTCCATCACCACAGCTCAATCACACACCTATAATTCGAGCCATCTCCCCTGCCACCTCCCGACTGCCCTCCAGTGGCGCCCGCCCAGAATACGCTAACATCCTGCACCCCATACCAAGCGATCACAAGTGAGGCCTCAAAATGGAACACGTCGCGTTCCGTTCATGTCGGCAGACAAACGCCCGCTTTGCACTTGGAGAACGGTGTCGAGAACGGTGCCCCACGGCACCAGTATGTCTGCCCCGCAACACACGAGACAGGCCAACGCCCTAAGGCTGTCCCGTGGCATCCATACTGCACGAGAACGGCAAGAAACACGAGACCGGCCGTCAATGTCGCCATCACCGGCCCCAGGGGTCTGACTAGGCCCGTGCAGTGTCAGCAAGCTCACAATCCTCGGAGCACGACGATACCACGCGATGAAATGGTCGTCATACTGCTGCATTTTCTTCGTCTCCGACACGAGCGGGGAAAACGCACACATCATCCCATCCGCGCGAGCACGACGCCATATGGCACGCGATGTCCCCGCGAGCAGTACCACATCACTAACCAGTCCCTCTTAGCAGGACGTCGCCATCTAAAACGTCACCGCCCACCATGCAACGCGTCGATCCTAGTATGCTCTCACCACCACACGGGCCACATTCGGGGCCATGACGTACTCAGTACGTCACTCAGCAGGCTGCTTTCCGACGTCATCGCTTGACCAGCCAATCAGCGCTGCGGCGGCGGCGGCGGAATGGGGTGATCAATCACACCTCGATGCCGGCGTTGGAGGGCGCCTTGCCCTCCTTCGCCAGCTGTTTTTCGATCTTGAGGTCGGCCTTCAAGGTCTGAGTGTGCCACACCAGGACCTGCGGTGGCAACCGCGTCATCACATCATCACATGCGTCACGTGACGCCACCATATAAATCGTGTCACATTTGTCACGTGTGCCACATCACTGCGCAAGCCACGTCATCATCCGTGCCAAGATACATCCCCACATGCACCCCGTCAGATCATCACATGCGTCCCGTCAGGTCATCACTTGCACCCAGTCAAGTCATCGCACACGTCCCGTCACGTCATCACTTGCACCCAGTCAGGTCATCACCGTCACGTCAGGCCCCCACGTGCGTTCTGTCAGATCATCACATGAGTCCCGTGAGATCATCATATACGTCCCAGCAGGTCATCACAAGCCTCCCGTCAGGTCATCACACGCGTCCCGTCACGTCATCACTTGCACCCAGTCAGGTCATCACCGTCACGTCAGGTCCCCACGTGCGTCCCGTCAGATCATCACATGAGTCCCGTTAGGTCACCATGTACGTCCCAGCAGGTCATCACATGCGTCCCTTCAGGTCATCACACCGCGATCACGCCACCGTGGACGCCAAGCACGCAGCTAATGACGTCATCACGGTTAACTCACAGCGAGTGATCGTACCATAGCACACGCACCACAAGAAACGCGGTTTAAGCGACAGAAGTGCGAAGCACGTAAACGTACATATACTATCACAGGCCGGTTTACACCCATCCAGCATGCTGAGAACGGGAAGCGCGGGCGCCAACTCCGGCGGAGACACAGCACAACCCACTAATGCGATCGCTGCATTGTCGAGACAATCCGCGCATCAATCCAAATCCAGACAATCAGCCTTTAGCCAGCGAATCTGGGACCAACTTCCAAGCACCTGTCCAACCGCCGAATGCCAAACTGATAATCAGCAGCAACATCGCTTCCAGCGAAATGAGGTTCGACGTGTTACAGATAATACAAGCCCCAAACCAGCCTCCGCTGGGGCGCCACCAGCGCACGCTGGTTAGGACCGCGGACAGGCAGCACGGCGCTTGACGCCCGGCTACGGTGTCGGGCGCGTCAGATTGCGATACGTCTCTCGGCCGGTAGATGGCGCGCAGTGTCTGCGCTCAGCGGCAAACCAGATAGCTGGGAGAAAATCATCGACGGACCCTCCACCGTCTTTTGTCATCACATGAAATTTCACGCGATTGCACCACTTTTCTAAAATCCCATCTCAAAACGTCCCACAGAAGCATCCCAGCTATCGGCCGTGACACAACTGACGAAGGCCTTGCATTGGAGCAGGCACCCCCGACACCACTTCACCTACCTTTGTACACTGGTCGGCCTTGACCTCCAGATCGTCCAGCGTGACTCCCATCTGGGTGAGCAGGTCAGTCTCCAAGAAGCCGCGCTGCGACTCGAGTGAGAACAGGGCCGTCGGGTGGTTCAGGAACAGCCTGCGGAGGACGCGGCTGAACTCAGCTACACCGCACGGCATCAGTCACGGACACGCGATTAATATCATATGGTTCGGAGACTGCAGTGTACTTACGTTCGCCGTTCCAGTTGCAAACAAAATTAGCGACTGCAGGAACAGATCACGCCATGCTGAAGTTATTACCTCACTGTCAGAATACCGTGGAAACCGCCGCAGCCATGCCCATGTAAAGCATGCTGTAGAGAAAGGGACACACATGCGTATCAAACACGAGGCCACTTTTCCTTTTTTTGGCATCGCGAGCCCGTTCTATGCGCATTTCTAACTCTCCATGATGATCGGTGCTTGGGCTTATCGCAAACCGGAAGTATACATTTTCGGCTGTACTGTTTCCCTGGTCATTTTCAGGGCGTGCCGACCTCCAGCGGCCCCTAGCTGCTCACAGCAAGCCCGCATCCCTGCGACCCGCCACGCTCTCTCACTCCCACGGAACGTCCAGACCCGCCGGGGATAACCGAATGTGCTTTTCCTTCCACCGAACGTCGATGCTCTCCCCCCCCCCCCCCCCTGTCCACTCACCAGTCGATGATTGGGGTTTTGGGGCGCGCCGACTTCCGGGGTCAATTTGCCCCCCTTCCCCTCACTCACCAGTCACCAAGTGGTCCCAGAATGCCCTTATCCCCTGATAGGACGTCTAAATCCATAGCTCTCAAGTGGCCCAGAACGCTCCCCCTCCCCCAGAACACTCAGACTGCGGAATCTACCAGCCCCCACCTCGCCCACTCACCGGACGTTTACGGCGAAACCGGCCATGTCGGTGGCGAAGGCGCGGTCGGATCGCCAGTGTGTGAGCCAGCCGGTGACGCGGCCGCCGGTGACCTGCGGCCGCTCCACCATCACGCCACCCACCAGGCCCACGGGCCACACGCCCACCGACTGCAGGTCCCGCATCTGCGCACGGGCGAGCGCAGGGAGTCAGGCGGCGGGGCGGCGTCATCCTCGATGCAGTTAGGTCGAAGGGCGGGAGCGACCGGTCGCAAGTACAGGTCACCGAGGTGCTGAACACCTGCTGCTTTAACGCTTGTGTTCTGCCTATGTAGCATCAAGAGGATCCGAGGATTTCAAACCAAAACAGGACATCAAGCAACGAATAAGATGTGTAAAGTTCGTCGCACACGCATGAGAACAAATAAATACCACCTCAGCATTCACTTGGAATCAGGCTGCGCTGATGGGATCCGGTCTGGAGGGAACGCAAACGTGAAGTTACCATGAGCAGGACCCACCTCTGCGAACAGCTCCAGGCTGTAGGTGTTGTCATCGTCGGCAAAGTAGACCACGCCGTTGGCGTCCACGATCTCCAGGTTCTCTCGGAGCCAAGAGATGCCGGCGTTCCTCTGGAGCACGCCGCGAGGCTTCTTCCAGCGCGGATCCTGAGGAGAGAAAGGCCAGAGTGAGAGACTGCGCGCGTTCGAGGAAGCAGCGCAATACTCCTTAGGAGGCGACAGGGTGAGATGCCCACGTTTTCTCAGGAAAACTGAGTCATAGCATTAACTACTTACGACATAATGGTGGGAGACATAACAAGTGACAAGTAGCTTTCTTGAAAATGACCTAACTTGTCTCAATGTTGAAATCATTGGCAAGAAACCCGTTAGCTGGATGAGGCATTCCACGTTCCTTGTATGTTCTTTAAACTTGGCACGGCTTTCTAGCAAGCGACACGGAAATAAAAAAAGCGATGGACGACGCTTCTAACGAAATACTTGCTTCCTTCCTCAATCACGAAAAGTCAAAGATGATAAAGAAGAAGGCGCGACATAACGCGACAAATCATAAAGTGCACTGCACGCAGTGACCATCTTCTCTTTGACGCTCCAAGACATAAAAATAATGTGATGAAGCTTTCCGCTGAATAGCCTCGAATAAAAACCTAATTCGGCCCATTCCATCACCGCAGAAGGAGCGCATTCCGTCACAAGAAACGCCTATTTCCCTTACTTGGCGGCACCGCGGGTCGGTGACGACACCACCCGGTCACCGGATCGCCGAGCTGACCATCCGTTAGCGCACTGCGCGGCGGTGCGTACAACTCCACGCGACATGGCGAGTATAACGAGTGATGCAACGACGCACGCCAAGAGCCAGTGAGTCTGACAAGGCACCGACACCCTCTCCGGACACTCCACAGTGTGGCTCGGTAGCCGGGTGCCGTATGCCGGGTGCCGGGTGCCGGATCCGGGTCCGGGTGCCGGGTCCGGGTCTGGGTGCCGGGTCCAGGTCTGGGTCTGGGTCTGGGTCCGGGTCCGGGTCCGGGTCCGGGTCCGGGTCCGGGTCCGGGTCCGGGTCCGGGTCCGGGTGCCGGGTCCGGTAGCCGGGCCCGGGCCGATAGCTGGGTCCGGATATCGGCACCCGGTACCGAGCGCTGCGGCTCTCACACGCACCGTGGGCTTCAGCTTGTATTCGGGCGGCGTCGGCACGTTCAGGTGGGTGTAGACGAGGCCGGAGCGGCGCAGCAGATTGCGGACTAGGTCAGTCTTGTGAGCCGCGTCCTCCACCAGCAGCCAGTGCAAGTTGGGCACGTGCGACAGCGTGTTCATTAGCCTGGAGGGACACATCAGTCGTGGTCAGCACTGCTAAAGGGAGTGGTGAAATGGTCGGGACAGAAAGTGGCCCCGTAATGACGCGGGCTGTTGGCAACAGTTGATATTTTCAGCACAGAACGCGCAGGCGATGCATTAGTGTTCAGAAACACCGGGTGGGGACAGGCACTAATCTTTCAAATGTCCCACCTATGGCGAAGGCGGAGTGGAAGTATGATAAACAAAAGCTCCGTAAGTGAACTTATCGAGCGTGAGCAAAGTCGGTAGGTTAACACACATAAGGCGAAATTCATTCGGACAGCAATGCGTCAGCAGAGCAATGCTTAGGTCAGGTTCGCATGGCTCCGGAAATAATGGGCCGACAAGTTTTTTTAGAAAGTCGTCATTCACGAAGTGGATAACTTGCGAGCAAGACTGGAAGAGGCAACGCAGGTAATAAAACAACAGGTTCCAACGCTCAAAATGCAAACGGTCCCTCAGACGGTCAAAAAGCGGCTCTCACTACCCCATGTTAGCAAAACGAGAGCGAGACGATACTGAAAACGCCGGATGTACGCAGCGTGTCCGATGATTTACGCAGCATAGCCTTGTTCAGCATTTGCCGGCCTGCAGCGGGGAATGCAAATGTTGCTAGTCCGACCAACGAAGACCGAGCGCGTAGGACACGCCCGTGCAACACCACACTGACACCGGTCCGCAGGCACACCGGGCCGCCTGGCTCGCCCTGGCCGTCAGCACGCACCGCACGAGGTCGGCCTTCTGCGTCGGCACGGCGTGGGTCGCCGTGACCACGTAGATGGTGGCCAGGTCAGCGTGCCGCCAGTGCGCCGGGTCACTGCCCAGCCGGGTCAGCTGCTCCCTCATCTGCGAAGCCTGGGAGCGCAGCCGCCGGTCACCGGCTGGGGGCTCGTTCACCCCCTCCCCCAACGTGAGTAAGGGAGGCGCTACGGGCC